CAGCAGGAACAAAAAGCCTCCCATCAGTTATGGGGTTTGTGGTTCTCAAAGCGCTTCCATAGCCATCATCTCATCGCACACTGATCCTGTGAAACAGGTGCAGACAGTATTCTCATCTGCATTATAGAGAAGGGGAAGCTGAGATCTCAGGGTTTCTGGAGAAACCCTAGAAGGGGAGAGGGGAGAGGTTGGAGCAGCAGAAAGCTGCCACAAAAACTATGACTCTGGACAAACATGGTGACTCTGGACACTGCTGAAATCGGGTCAGGTGGCGAGATCCCTGAAGGCCACCTCTGGTCATGCACTAGTCAGCAGACTGCAGTGGCAGCTCCTCGAGCCAGGCCTGCCCAGCCCAGCCCCTGCTCCTGGCCTGTCCTTCCCTCTCTGATGGCAGCCACTGCCCACGGCATCTATCCTTCCCTGGCTTCCTCCTTCCACCTCCCGACCCGCCCATGTTCCCAATGCCCAGGCACAGAGGGGAGGGCAGAGGACGGGCAGGGGGGAGTCAGAGCTGTCCCTCCCACCACTTCCACAACAACCCAAGCCTCTTCCCCACCTGTTTCGAGCCTCTCCTCAAGCTGAAACTAGAGTGACATGGATTACATGTGCCGTCTTAGGCGCTCTTTCAACTACTCTAAAAAAGCAGCAATTTAGGGTGAGGACCACAGCTAACACCGAACACTTCCTATTGGATTGGAACTTAGGCCGTCTCACTGAATCAAGGCTCTTAACCACTATGTTCTCTCATAAGAGAATCTCCAGTTAAGCCTGGCTTTGGGGGTTAGGGTCTGGCTTAGTTCCCTTTCTTGAAAAGCCTTCCAAAGTAGACTGGACAGTGGCTGGAATGGAGGTGACGCAGGAGGCGCAAAGGCCGAGGAAAGAGCTCATTCATTGAAAAGAACACACAGGAGCCACGCGGCCGTAGGGCCGCTTCCAGGACAGAAACCAAATCTCCCATCTGGCCTCTGAATTGGGGCTGCTAATGGAGATCTCTAGACCCTCGTCTCCTGGGGAGGGAGAGTGGCCTGGAGGTTTCCTAGGAGCCTGACACATATGTGGAGGAATATGTACACACCACCGCGATCCACCATGACAGCAGCAGCACCCCAGATCAGCTCTGCTGTGACAACAGGGGACAGCCCAATATGGTATGAGGAACCCCTTGGTGGCACTGACGGGATGAAACAGTGACCTGCACCCAGCAATACAACATTAATGCCGCAGACCCACACCCTGACCACAGGCGCGCGTGCGCGCGCGCCCCCCCGGCCGGGCCCCACCTGTCGTCACAGTAGGTGAACTTCATGTCCATGCTGTGGCGGCTCAGGAAGGTCTTGCTGTCCAGGGGGATGTCCATGTGGGACGGGTGCTGGATGGGCTCACACATGATGATGAGGCAGGACAGCAGCGGCTCCTTGCAGCCGCAGAGACTGCTGTGAGGGGGGCAGTTGTTGTAGACCTTCACCTGGCCCGTGCAGTGCAGGACCTGGAGACCAGCCGCGGAGGGTCAGACGTGGAGCCGAGAGCCGGGGGCGGGGCCGGGGGGGGGCGCACTCGGTGCTCCAACCCAGGCCCGACGTCCTACCTTCCAGGTGGCTGACTTGAGGTTGACGGTGCGGCCTCTGCTGGTGACCGTGCATTTCATCCTCATGAAGAAGTCCCGCTCTGGGGACACGTCTTTGCTTTTCTTCCCAAAACCAGAGCCTGGACAGAGAGAAGGGTAGGGGAGCCACAGCTGAAGTTTCGTGTTTGCATTCAGAGCGGGGGCAGCTTTTCAGGGCAACACGTGTGTGTTCCCCGAGGAGCGGCGCTCTGAGCACGCGCAGCCTGCCCTGAATGCTCCGTGCCACCCTGGCTGTGGACCGAGGCTCGCTCATCTCCAGCCTGTCTCCCACTGCTGAAGGGTCGGGGCTGTTCCAGCGTGTTATCGCCCACTGCACCTCGCACTCCAGAGCGGCCAGGCGATGAGTGACCATCGGCCGTGATCCCAGCAAACCTCTCCCGGGGCGGGTCCAGGTTCCAGAGAATTCCAAGGGACAGTCTGGGCGAGGCCACAATTACTCCAAGGCGATAAGCCTCTCGGGTTGGATATGTCCCTTAGACAGCCCTGTCTTTTCTTCATTCCTGTCCCTCCGGTGCCCTAGTTTCAACCTGCAATGGCTGCACTCAGGAACGTGCACCACTTGCTTTCTCCCCTAAAGTGACATAGGTCAAAGGTTCAAGAGAGACGCTGCTGGTCCAGATCTCCTGTGGGGAGATCACCTTGAGGATTAACTCAGCACAGATCATATCCTTTCTCAGCCAGAATCAAATAAATCACCAAGACAAACAAGATTGCTTCCTTCCTTATAGTCTCCAAATAGCCTGCCATTCAGAACCTCTCCCACTTTTTGTTTAAAAAAAAAAAAAGTGATGAATGCAGTAAGTGCCAGCTGAGCCCCCCTGCCCATGTCTCAATTCTGCCATCCTGGACCTTCCAAGTTACACTCCCGCCCCCTGCCCAGCATCTCAGAACAGACCAGAGCCTTGTTTCCAATAATCACACCCCTCCCTCTGGCATGGCCACCAGCTTCTGAACCTGAACCCCCAGGGGGCTGTGACTTATTTGGGTGACACAGCCCCTAGTCACTGTGTGTTGAATGAATTGTGACACCTTTGAATTTATCTTCAACATCCCTAGGAGAGCCCCCTAAGTAATAGACCAGATGGTGAATCTTTTTTTTTTTTTAAAGAGAGAATATTCTCCATCATGATTATAAAACCATCTCTCCCATACTCAGTTATGTTTCTTCCTACAATTCTAATTCCCACAAGTGGGCTTTGCACATCATGAGACATTCCTGTATCTTGGGGCCTGGACACAGCACCAGCACCAGCTCAGGTGCTGAGAAGTGGGCTGGAAGGACTCATCTGTGGCTGTGACATGGGTTAGGGCTGTGGCCTCCTGACCTGTTAACTTCTGAGTCTCCCCCATTCTGCCATTTGGTTAATCTTTCTAAACACAGCTCCAACCAGATCACTCCACCTCTGCCTCAAAACTTCCACCAGCTCCCCTCTGTCTACAAGGAAGAGGACCGAGGCCCAATTCCTGGCCTTCAAAGCCTTGCACACCAGCCTCGCAGTCTTATCTTTCCCTGGGTGCTCGCACTAACCCTGTGCTTACAGATCATTCAGGTCGGCACCTTCAAAGGCTTTGCTGATTCACTGATTTGGATCCCAAGTCCTCGACACAGGGACCAAGAGATCTAAAGTTCTACTCGGATCAACAGAGTAGAGTCCTGCTGAATCATGGCAACTGGGAGCTGGAAGGTCCTAGACTTTGCCTGGTCCAATACTGTCACTTTGAAAAGAAAGACTCCCAGAAACAGAGCAATGAAGTGACTCGGTTCAGATCACATGATCAGATTGAGACTAGGGTCAGAGGTTGAACTAAGACTGAGAACCCAAGGGCCCAAGGGTTTCCAGAGCAGAGAAGAAATTAAGAGACTTTTTGGTTTTCGTGGGCTCCCAGCACCTGTTTTAGAAAGGGATTCAGAAGCTCTGGCAGCCCCTTCCTCACAGAACCAAACAAGAGTTTCTCAGAGGCACAGAGAAGACAGTGAACAGCCCAGAGTGCTCCCCAGCCTGTGTATGCCTGGAGCCAGGTGGCCTTCGGGAGGGAGAGCAGAGGCGCTGGGCGGGGAGGCCGTGGTGGGGTGGGTAGAGGTGGTGGTAATCCTGCGCTTTGCAGGCTCGGTCTGTAACAAGGGTAGAAGTGGACCAATGAAGTGTCTGCTTTTGCAGCATGTGTGGTAATAAGAGCAAAACCTTGCAGGCTTGATACCACTGCCTCTGTCATTCAGGTTGGACAAGCACACACTCCATGGCAGTGACAGGTGAGAGATAGAAAAGGGGATGTCTAGACTCGGGCACAATCTGCCCAGGGCAGAGATCGACTCTCAGGTTCAGAAGGGACCTTGAAAGTCATTAAGTCCCCTTCTTCTCAAAGCTTCAGTCCACTTGACAATATGCCCATCTGCGCTTTTGCTTGACTGTCCCCCGTTACAAGAGATGATGCAGCAAGCTCTGATTGTCACTGCAAAGTGCTTTCTGCTTGTATAGGCCCTTCAATCCACCGGCATCTGCTGGAGGCCTCACAGGGAGGGTGCAGTGCACGAGACCTTATAAATCTCTTCTCCATCAAAAACTACCTGTCCCATTTCTTATCACCAGGAGGCCAGATTCCTTCCTTGGCTCCCGGGGTAGCTAGTCTCTAAAGGTGGCCCCAATGAGCCACATCTCCTAGTATTCAGGGCCTCCTGTAGTTCCCTCCCACAGTGAATGGGGCTGGCCTGTAACTCACTCTAACAGCAGGATGGGGCAGAGTGGTGCTGTACCAGTTTCAGGACTAAAGCCTTCGGAGAGCCTGGCGGCTTCTGCTTTTGCACTTTGGGGGAGCCCTGAGCTTCCGTGTAAGAAGTCTAGCTATCCTGGAGACCCCACGTGGAGAGGGAGAGGCTCCGATACCTCACAGAGTGAGAGGGAGGTCCAGCCGTGCCCGCATCCCAGCCGAGCCCCAGCCTCCAGCTACCGGCCACAAGGTCCCAGAGGTGTGGGTGAACCCGCTGGTCATCCCACCAAGTCCAGCCTCCTGACATCACAGGGAGCAAAAGAACCACCGACAGAACCCGCAGAATCATGAGAGCTAATAAAAGTACTGTTTAAGCCACTATGTTTGGGGCAGTCTGTTACACAACTGTCTTAGGGACAACCACAACGGTTCCCATGAACATTTTGGCACAGATGAGCTGATTGGTTTGGGTGGTGTCATTTGGCAGAGATGCTGGATGCTCAGGTGATGAAACCTTCTGGAGACAGTGTCCTAACCTGAAGGAGTGCCCTAGGAGTGTGACATCAGGCCCCAGGAAGAGCCAGCGAGAGATCCTTCTGAGTACTAGGTCCTTCCAGGGCCCTCGATCTCATCTCCTAGGCTCTGCTGGGTTTTTTATGGATGTCAGTGTTTTTAGATCATGATGGCCATGTTCCAACCATCCTACATTTGTAGACAAAGGTAAGGCAGATCCCCTCCCAGGTGGTGTGAAAAGAAAAGAAACGCAATGAAGAATACGTTACCATTTTTGAGACTCAGGTTCTCACGGATCTCCTCATGGTCACAGGGATGAGTGAAGTCAAAGATACTGTGCCCTGTTAGCTCCACCTGTTTCAAAAACAAGGTTGGGCTTCATTATTCCTAACACTGAAGAAGAAATCTCCAAGAGGAAGCTGGGCCCCCTTTTCACATTTGGAGAGAGGGAGGAGGCTAAATCAGGTCTTCTCATGTTCCACTCCACAGGTCCACAGACACACCAGCGTAACAGACTTCACGAAGGATGTGGTTCACAAGGGTGGCTCTGTTAATCCAGTCGGCAGAGCTGTCCACCAGGGTGGCCATCAGCAATGCTAAGCCCAATGCCAGGGGTTCTCAGTGTGTTCCTGAGGTTTGAGGCTTGAAATCAGAGAGAAGCAGGGTGGGCATATGCAAGGAGAGGTCAGGAGGGATGTGATCAGAACCTTCCACTAATTTCTACCCACAAGTGGAAACGCTTTCCCTTTCTGAAAGAGCCAGAGGAGGGGGTGTCACCTGTGTGAGTCCCAGGAACTTGCTGATGTTTTCTGACAGGAAGATCATGTCGCCATCTTGGGTCACGACGGCAATGAAGCCCTCCAAGGCTTTCAGGTACAAGTTGTCCATCTGCTGGTCAGCCTCAGCTTCAGGCTGACTTTCAGAGCAAACTGGAAAGAGACAGGGGGTGGACGGCTTGCATCAATGTGTTAAAGCAGACGTGACTGGCATGGACGGATGTCTGCCAGGGATGGCTCAAAGGCATTAAGTGGATTCTTCTGGAAACACACACTGCCAACCATCCAAGTGTCCACCATAGGCTCAAGCAGCAGGCATTTGATGAACACCACTGCACAGAGGACACCCTGACAGGAGCTTTGCGGGCAGTACGGTTGTTGTGGCCGCATACTTGTGGTACCAGTGGCAGTGGCAGCAGTAGTGGCCACAGATGCAAAGGCAGTTATAGGAGTAGTCAGCCCAATAATTTCCCCTAATGGATGTTGAACAATGACAGCATATCAGGCACTACACTGAGCATGCTATATAATCTTCAAGACACCTGTGGGGCAAGTACTATTTTTTTGCCTCATCTTACAGATGAGGCCTGGAGAGGTTAAGTCATTTGCCTAAGGTTTTAGAGGTTGTAGCCAGTGGACTCAGGCAGCTGAATACAGAAGCCACACTCGTAACCATTCATAGGCTTTGGACTAGTCCTCCTATTAGGCTATTATGACTCTGCGTAAGTAACAACCTTTTTGAATATTAGTTTCCTCATCAGCTAAACAGAGATAATAATTCCCATCTCTTTGAGTTGTAAGGATTAACTACGTATGTAAAATTCCTAAAACGTACTAACTATCGTGATTCTCTCTCCCTTCTGCCCCTCTACGACACTGTCACTGTCTTCAGATTTACTCAAACCTGGACAGGGGCTGCGTGGCACACAGAGACACAAATCTAAGTAAAAAATTCAGGTTGACAGAACTGGGCACCCAAGAGGCATACAGACAGTAAGTGCTGAAGGGTTCATAGGAAGAGGGGGTCGCTTTGGGGTGGTCAGAGACAACTGTTTAAAGAAGGGCATTTGAAGACATGCGTGAAAAACAGGGATCTCCCTCTGTTAAATGAAAGGAGGGCTTTCTGGGCCTGGTGGGTTGGGCCGACACTGGAAAGCATGGAGGTGGCAGAGCCTGGAGAAAGCTCCCTCCAGGGACGGAGAACAGGTCCACCTGGCTGAAGAGGAGGGTCCATTTCCCAGACTTATCGACTGGCCTCACGACGTGGGTCCAGTGGCCTGGAGCAGTGGCATCTCAGACCACTGCTTTGGGGAGATTCATCTGGCATGCAAGGCGGTTTGGAGTGAGGACCAGAGGTGTGAAGCCACGTGAGGTGGCTGCTGCTGTGCCGGTGGCAGGCTGCAGAGGTGGTTGCTAGGGGCAACCTGGGAAGGCGTCCACTCCCCAGCCAAGCGCTTTGAGGAACCCTGGCCTATGAAATATACCTCTGCTATGTGCAGAAGGCAGACTCAGCTCTTGTCCCAGCAAATAAAGCTCTCAGGCCCCAGACCCTTGGCTCTTATGGCTCAGACCACAGACTTTATTTCAGCCCTGCTTCTCCTAGCTCATTATTTAACTCCAAATGTACATTCACTTATAAAAATTTGTATTCATCCAGTACAAACATAGAGCCCAGTATGCCTCCCTTAATTTACAGAACAAGAGGATTAGAGAATAATTTGTCACTTATAAACGTTAACATTCACTTAACTAAAAAAAAAAGGAGTCTTTCAAACTGAGACTGTTCTAGGGAATGTAAAACGCAATGCATTTATGGGCCACTTGGCAAGGGACACATGGATGCTGTGAAATGAGGTTCAAGGGCCTTTCTGGAAGGGCACTGGATTTATTTGGTTCTCTTTTCTCTTTTCCCTTGAGCTCCTAAATTTAAGCTCTGGGCCATATGCTGTTATTCCTCAAGAAGAACAAATCCAAATTAGAAGATGTTCCTACCAAGGGGCCTCAGGGGCACCACTGTGGACCATCCACCTTCAGGACACAGGATCGGTGAATGTGCCGAGGTCACTCGTGCTGCCCAGGGACAGGCCAGCCTTTAGAGCCAAGAGTTGGGCCATACAGAGTGAGTAGTAGCCTAGTGACTTCCCTCTGTTTTGCTAAAATGGTAGAATGGAATGAGGGACATTCTTTCCTCTTCATAACCTGATTCAGGTGGCTAGCCTATGGGAGGGGAGACTGTCTGGGAATGGCCTTTTTACCACACACATACCCACACTTGATCCCTGCTTCGGGCGCCTGCCATCTAACTGGTTAGCTGAACTGATGATAGCGAACCAAAGTTCCGGGTGTGGGTGGTGCCTCGGTCAATGTTCATGCTCTGGGTTAACACCTATATTTAAACAAGGGCTGCAGGAGAGACCATGACTTGACTCAGTGCTTTCAAATTGGAGCGTGCACCGGAACCACCAAGAAAACTTGCTAAAACAAGGATTTCCGAGCCCAGGGCAAAGTAAGAATGTGGGGCCTCTTGTTGAAACATTAAACCATGCCCAGGGCCCTTCTGTGTGGGACCGCACAGGTCACACAGAGTCACGGAGCCACCCTGGATGTGCCCCCTGCCCAGAGTTCCTGAGTCGGTAGGTCTCAGGCTGGGGGCTGAGAATGTGCTTTTCTACCAAGTTCTCACGTGATGTGGATGCTGATAGCCCTAAGACCACAGGTGGAGAATCACTGCCTTAACTCAAGGTCCTATGAGCGACCCTAATGCCGGGAAAATCAAGTTTGGCAGGTGGTGACCTATTTGGGGGATGGGTGAGGAGAGGTTTTCAGCACTGTTAAAAATCACACCAGAGAGGTGAGCACCTTCTCCAGACAGCAGAGGCCAGCCCTGTGATTTCTGGCCTATTGAGATTTTCTTCTCTTCAACGTCTTTGATCTCAGTGGCAACACTGACTTCAAAATCTGGAGTAATCCCAAGACAACCCTATTTGGGTTAACTAGGCCCAGAGGAAATAGTTCTGCTTAAAATTTCCTGTTTTTTACCAGTTCCGACACAGCCAAACTGGTTTCCACCCGTGCCCAGTACACTTGCTTCCAGGAGGTGGCGAAATTGGCTGTAGCAGCTGGCCAGCTGGCCTCCAGGAGGGAGGGAGAGGGGTGCACAGGGCCCACGAATGGAAACAGAACATCTTGGAACTGAAGTCACAAGGGCTGGGGGGCCAGGAAGCCAGCAGGCCGGCCCCCGGGAACCCTGGGACAGCAAGGCCTCTTTCGTCTATGGAAGGCTTTGCTGCCGCAGCACCTGCCTATACTCCTGGGGGCTTCGGAAGGAACCTGGCCAGTGTACTGTCAGCTTGGAGCTGAGGGTGGAAACTGCGGGGCCGGATGTAGCCCTTCACCCGAGGGGCCGGGGGCTCAGGCACATCATCCGGCTGAAGACGGCTCTGCCTTCTCCTCTGCTCTTTCTCGGGAGCATCACATCTTCTGATGGGATCATTAATCTCTGACTCAGTGCTAAGCACACAGAAAATTCTTTCATTCACTACGCAGTTACTGTGCTCCTGCTACATGTCTGCCCCATGCTGGGCACGAAGCAGGAAATCAGTCAGGTCATCTGTCAACAAGTGACGCTTACTAGATGCTCAGTCCTGTCCTAGGGAAAGTCAGGTGTAAGAGCATCCTTTCCCTCAAGGAATCCACAGACTGGTGGGGAAGAGAAAGATGAACCGCCGTAAGGCTGCACGACAATCCAGAAGAAACCCTTGGTGCCGAATAAAGAGGAACCCACAGTAGGTGCTCCATACACCCTCAGCAGGGTCTTTAAATTGCCTTGGGCTCCAGGTCTCAGCTACTTGCTTCCCAGGACCCTTCAGGGTCTGACCCCAAAGAAGAGAGGTGGGTCATGCAGATCAGAGGCACTCTGCAGAGATGCAGCATGCTGGGCCCAGGAGCACAACAAGGTTCTTTAATGCTAAAAATAGCCCCAGTAAACAGGCTTTGATGACTCCCCACAGCCAGGATATGCGCGGGCTGAGGTTTCGGAGCACTTTTTCCGGAGCACCGCGCATTTCCTTCAGGCAGCACCACGCGGGGGGTGGAGGGGGGACGGGACCCGAGGGGCAGCAGGAGCTGGGCGTCTGGGGCGAGCGGGCAGGTGGCAGGGCAAACGCTCCTGACCGGGCCTCTGGGACCAGATCGTCCCAGGGCTGCTGGTCAGGGTGCATTTTTATTCCACCAGGGTTATTTTACCTCTGTTCCTAGTCTGAGAAGTTCCAGGAGTGTTTTGACTGGTCTTCAAACCACCCTGATGTGACCCTCCTGGTGCAGATGTGCTATGCAGATGTGTCACCGGGTAGTTATCAACGAAAGGGCTTTCCTTTTACACCAATTCTTCCCTCCAGCCCACAGACCCACAACTACACCCAGCCCTGGGTGTGCTGACTGCAAAAGCAGACCCAGTCAAGCCATGAGGAAACTTTTTTTTTTTTTTTTTTTTCGCAGGCTCAGCGGCCATGGCTCACGGGCCCAGCCGCTCCGCGGCATGTGGGTGGGATCTTCCCGGACCGGGGCACGAACCCGTGTCCCCTGCATCGGCAGGCGGACTCTCAACCACCGCGCCACCAGGGAAGCCCGAGGAAACTATTTTTGAATCACTTACTGGGTCGTTAGCCCCACCTTTAAACTCCACCATTGCCTGGTAGTAGGCTTGGGCTACCCTCACACCTTTGGCAGAACGCACTGTGTTTTATCTGACCTTGCAGGCCTCCCAAAGGGCTTTGAAAGTCCACCATTAGAAATTCATTCCTTTATTCTGTGCATAACTTACTATCCTATCTCACTTCTCTGTGTCACCCTTCATAAGATGTCGCGCTGGGCTGGGGTCAGTACATACCTGCTGATTGACCAGACTTTTTTGGTTTAAGTTAAGGGAATGATCTGAACAAAGCATCTCTAGAAGAGACTGTACAATTAGCTTCTCTCAGCCATTAACATTCTGGCATGAATCAGCCTCTCAGCTCTTCACCAAACAGGACAGAAAAAGGCCTTGGTTTGGAAGGTGAGTGGGGCAAGGGGGTGAGACAGTAAAAAAAAAAAAAAAAAGTAGAGGTGAAAGCCTGGGAAAAGAAGTCCGAACGGGGGACCTAAGAGGGCACCAGAAACCATATCTGCCTCCACAATTTTCCCTCTGGTCTCACTCTCTCCTGCATGAAAAGGTCATGGCAAAAAACGAAAATCACTTGTCCCACATTTTAATGTCTTTCCCTTAGTAGTCTAGAGACGAGGAAATCATAATCTCTTGTTAAGACTGATGTCTTCACTAAGCAAATGCCAATGAATTAATAATAAACCTGACATTTGTCTTAGAAAGCTTGCTGCACATTGACCTCTAGCTCTCATGTAAAATGAATTTGATTTTACCTCATATGAGTATGGGGGAAGCCAAAAATCAATTTTATAGTGAAAAGCCAGCTCTGCATATCTACCACTGTTTAAGGCTGTCTGAATGCAGGAGTGAACCTCATCTGGTTACAGTTTGCGGAGCTCCTCTTGAAAGAGGATTTAAGACAATCAAGTGGTATTTCCACTGATGTTCCCGTCAGAGTGTGTTCTGTTCTCGGCCCAGCGTGGAAGCTAATATCATAAAGCTATTGTTTCAGTTTGCTTCCTGTGATACAAATCTCAATCGGCCGCCCAGACTCCCAGCCTGAATTTCTCAGCATTGAGGTTTCCTCTCCAACATTCCCACACAGAACAGCCTACTGTGAAAATCAAAGGGAAACGTGTTACTAAGTAAAGAAGAAACTTTTCTAAAGCAAAACCTGGTCTTTTTTAGCCTTTTGAACTCTGAGGTATGCAACCAGCTATTTCCTATCATAAAGTGAGCCAACATCGGCGCTCACCTTTGTTAGAAATGCTTCAATAATGGATCTGTGGTTTGTTTTGACTTGGGAAAGCTTGGCAACCCTGCATTTTGCTAGAAATTGCTAGAAGGTGGTAAGAGGACAGTAAGGGTTTACACTGGGTTTTCATTTACATCATTTTTTCCAGAAGACTACTCTTATTATAAATCAATTTGCTTGTTCATAGTAAGTTTTATCTCTTAAGCTATAACTTACTGAGAGCCCATATGTGGCAGGCAAGAGGAAAAGGGCTTTCATATCCAATGTCCACGGTAAGTACTGGTATCCTCTTTGTGCGGATGAGAAAGTAAAGCTCAAAGGTAGTCAAGAGGTTTTCACAAGGCTGCAGAGAAGGAAGGCAGCCCGACTGAGGTTCCAGGGCAGGTCCAACTGTCCACAAATCCTGTACTCCTTTTCGCTGCATTGCATGTTTTGAAGAAGCAAAATGTGATTTAAAAAGAACAAGATCCTGTCTCGCATACAATTCCTAAAAACGATAACAACAATTGGTCTAAAGAATGTGTGGCAGCGGCCTGGAAGAGAAGGTACAGAAAGCCATCCACCTCCTCCTCCCCCAGGTGATGCATGTTTTATGAGAACTGCTCCTTCAAGGACGCCCAGACCAGATGGCCAAATGTGGACACTTTTTATCCTTTTCTGTCATTTCTTTCCTCGGGACCGAGAGGACCAGAGCTGACACGCTGAGGGCTCTGCTCTGGTCAGTCCAGGGCCAAAAGCCCAGCCAGAGCACAGGCACTTTGCTTCTACACTTGCAACCGCCCTGGGAGGGGATGTGTTGATGTCTCGCTGTGGCCACTCTGGTCCTATCTCCCTGGGCATATCTGGCACACAGGGGGTTCACGCCAGCACACATGCAGGCAGATGTGCTCAGAGCCTCCAATATGTGTCCTGTCCAAGCCAACCCTGAACCACTGAGGGGGACGGTTATGCACGGGAGAGCTCGGAAACCAAGGCGGTGCACCAAGAGCAAGGGTAGAAACAGTCACTGAGTGTGTGAGGACCTCCTGCAGACCCCAGTGCTCAGGGCCAGCCCCTGGTGCCTCTGTTTAACTTTGGTTCCCCCTCCAAGGGAGAACCCTCCCTTTCCCCCAGTCCTCAGCCCTCATCCACATCTCCGCCTGGCCAGGTTTGCAGAATGCTCCTGCCCTCCATGTCTCTCTTCCCATGGATTCAAAAGGACTTGAACTCCAGGCGCTAAATGTGTGACTTGGAGCAAGCTTAATTTTGCTGTGCCTCACTTCTCATCACCTGTGAAATGAGGAGAAACATCCTACAAGTCCAAATTCAATCAGAGAGATGTCCCAGGATTAATGTATTACTCCTTTCGGGGCTCCCTGCTGGTGGAGGAACAGGGGTGGTGGTGGTGGTGGAAGGAAGCTGCGACAAACCCAAAGAAATCCGTGTCGAAGAGGGGAATCCCAAGTATTGTAACAGGGAAGTTGAGATGCTTCTGAGTGTGGGGAAGGGGTCTCCGTTTAGTCACTAAGTCCTCCACTCCCTACTCTGTGCAGACGTAAAGATGATTCCAACACTACCGGACACTGCCCTCACCTGTCCTGGAGGACAAGCTTCTTTAAAGGAAAAAAGTACACACGTGTCCTGCGATGGCATCGCCAAGCCTTTCTTATACTTCAGCCCATAGTTCCCTCTTCCTGTAGCATCTAGGGTGACAAGTCTGCCATTGCCTTGCACTGTTTCTTTCAAAGTATTTCTAGAGCCCTGGGCTCTCTCCCTCCTGTCTGCTCTTTCTTGAGACTCTTTAAATTCGCAGTCCAGGGTTAGCCCTCCAACCCTTGGACCCACTGAGCTGTCATCCTACTTTCTGAAAGTCTTCCCCCCATATCCTTCCTGTGCTCCAGGGCCCAGAATAGCACATGCCGGCCTGGCCTCCCCACCTCACACTGGATTCCCTCTGCTCTGGGTTTCTTTCCCAGAATAGCCACTTCATAACAGGATGGCAGAGTCAACCCCACTCCAAGGCACACGGCTCACTAAGGAACACTGAAAAGCCAGCGCAAGAGAACCTTCCCTTGCCAGCCCTCCTCCACTCACCACCTTGGATGCTGCCACCTGCAGTGCCACAGCCAGGTGGGGTGCGGAGGGGCACTGCCCGCTGCCTGGTTTTGTTAAGAAACTGGCAGACTAGAGGGGACTGTCGCGTCAGACCTGACACTGGCAGAATCCCCAGGCCACCTCCGTCTGGTCAGGACTAACAGGAAATGGTATTTAGAAGAAGGTGAGCTCTGAGGGGATAAAAAATGTTTCGTGAACTTGAGACTTGCAGAGATTATCAGGGGAGGTGAGAATTAGTTGGTTCTGAGGGGAGACTGTTACCTGTCAGGGGCTCCCCGGTGAGTAGCGTGGCCGGGTCTGGCGCTTTACAGACTTTCTCTCAGTTAATGCTTAAAGACACCCCATGCAGTAAGTATTTTAACCCCTTTTAACAGATGAGGAAACTAAGAGCAGAGACACTGAATACTTTGCCTGGGGTCCTGGCTAGTAAGACGAAAAGATCCTATGGGCACACCTCCGCTTTTGGAGAAAGTGGCCAGCGGATAAGCACTAAGGTGCTTCCTAAGGATTCATTCACCCTAGACTGGAGTGTGGGTCTGACAGCCAGAGCATGGGAACTGGGGAGCCAGCAAAAGCTGCTCTCATTCTCGTAGCCCTCTCTGTCCCCTCAGCTTCCAAGCACTCCCCTGGTCCTGCCCTTGCTCTTCAGCCCATGGCTGTACTCACTGCAAAGGCCACTGCTGGAAAGATGTTCAACGAAAGAGGACAAAGCGCCAATGACGGCGTTCCTATGGGTGGAAGGTTTGCAGAGTGGGCGTTCCTGGGGAGGAAGACCTTCCCTCTGTGCCAGTGGCCTTCCAACTCTGGCCCAGTGGCGCCTCCTGCATGCGAGGACACGTGGGGAAGGAGCCCGGGGGCCCGCAGCCTCACCTGAGGACAGGAGCTTGTGTGTACGCAGGAAGCTGATGGCCAGCCGCATGATGGAGGCCTTGTCCAGGTGGGAGCTCACGCTGTGAGGCAGGGGCAGCTCGTGGGCCAGCTCGTAGAAGACCTCCGTCTCCTTGCTCCGCCGGCACCTGGCAGCATCTCGGGACTTCTCCTTTCTCCTCTCCGAGCTACTCCTACATCGAGAGGCAGGGGTTAGTCTCTAGCACGTCACTTGTCATCCCATCACACCCCTGGTCACGACATCCCCGGGACTCCCCACCCACGGCACGGCCAGACCGTCCCGATGAGCTGACGCGGGCTCACGCCAGTCACCTGAGCCGCGGAGAGTCAGCTCTGAACTGTCAGCTCTGCCTTCATGCGTCTCGTGTCTTCTCAGCCGCCTTCCCCTCCTGCGTGCCATGGAGTCCACAACAGGGCTTCACGTGGGTGGGGTTTGAGCAAAGCCTTGCCGATTGAATCAATCCACTGGCAATGCCTGGGACCTGGTCCAGGGCTATCTGGGGACTGAGGTGAATGCCCAGGGATGGAGAGGGAAGGGTGAGGAAGCTGTGGCCAGTGGCCCAGATGGCTGTGTCAAAGCCTCTGGAGAACAGGATGAAGATCTGCTTCTGGATAAAATGCTCTTAGAGACAATGAAGCCCAGTACTGGACCTTAGATCCCATTTCGTACCAGAGAGTGAGTTCCACCGTAAAAATCGAAAATGCCACTAGAGCCCAAGAACAGTCAGCCAGACACCCGTCAGTCTGATGTCCCGACGTGCACACCTGCTGAGGGTTAAAAAGGACTGAGCACAAACACGATTCCTCTTTAATCCTGCCAGGACAGGCTACCAGCAGGCCTCATCTTCCTTCTCCTTGCAGGACAGAGGGCCACTCGCCAGCTCTGTACGTTTATATTATTTAACCTGATTAGCCTCAGTTTTCTCATCTGTAAAGTGGTAATACAGTGCTTGTCCCACAGAGTTAATGTGAGGATTGAATATGATAACTTCTGTAAAATCTTTTTAATATAAATTTATTTATTTTTCATTTATTTATTTTTGGCTGTGTTGGGTCTTTGTTGCTGTTCATGGGCTTTCTCTAGTTGCGGCGAGCGGGGGCTACTCTTCGTTGCGGTGCACGGGCTTCTCATCGCGGTGGCTTCTCTTGTTGGTGGAGCACGGGCTCTAGGTGCATGGGCTTCAGTAGTTGTGGCACGCAGGCTCAGCAGTGGTGGCTTGCGGGCTCTAGAGCACAGGCTCAGTAGTTGTGGTGCACGGGTTTAGTTGCACCGTGGCATGTGGGATCTTCCCAGACCAGGGCTCGAGGCCATGCCCCCTGCGCTGGCAGGCAGATTCTTAACCACTGTGCCACCAGGGAAGCCCCCAACTTCTGTAAAGTCTTTAGTGCCAGGCCTATCCCAATGGTAAGCAGTCAATGTTAGCTAATATCAATAACAAATATATTCATGAAAAGATAATCGTGAGAGTAAAAATGTTACAAGAGTACAGCATAATCCTATTTTCATGGAAATGTATTATACATAACACTTCTTATATAGGAAAAAGTCTAGAAATATAATAAAATACTAATAACTGTTATTCTTACAGCTATCACGTATATGGTACTTACTATGTGCCAGGGACTGTCTTAAGCACTACTGCACTGGCTTCTTTAATTCTCACAACTACCCTTGGAAGCAGTTGTTATTATTACCCCCAATTTATAGATGAGGAAACAGGTCCATGGAGACTAAGTACAGTAGTCTCCCTTTATCCACGGGGGATTCATTCCAAGCCTCCCAGTGGATTGCCTGACCCCATAGATACTACCGAACCCTACCTGTACTATGTTTTTTCCTATACTTAATGGGCAGGTAGCGTATACAGCACAAATATGCTGGACAAAAGGATGATTCATGTCCTGAATGGGATGGTGGGACACTTCACCATGTTATTCAGAATGGCATGAGACTTAAAACCTATGAATTGTTTATTTCTAGAATTTTCCACATAATATATTCAGACTGGGGTTGACCGTGGGGAACTGAAACCATAGAAAGTGAAACTGTGGATAAGGGGAGACTGCTGTAATTCACCTGCAGCCTCTGCGCGGGTAAATGGGGAAGTGGGGCTTTGCACCGGGCAGCTGGGCCCCGGAATCCAGGCTCTTCTCCATCAATGATGTCCTGCCTCCCTAGCTTCAAAACTGTTACAGTGTCAGGTCAGTGAGGTTAGGAGGAATTTTTTTCTTAGTGCTTCTCTGTATTTTCTTATGTTTCTATAAAAAAACAACAACCCTATATTGCTTGTTTAATAAACAAGTGTGTCTTTATTTTTTTAAAAAGGTGTCCAACGCAGTTCACGGCTCTCAAGGCCTCACCCAACCCGCTCCAGCTTACTCTGTCTATCCTCTCTCCTGAGACTTCCAAAACCAGGGGCTGCTTCTCCTTTTGTTTGGCTGTGCAGCCTGTTATCTGGACTGAAAATTCAGTATTTTGGGATTCCCGGAATGTTGACACGCCGCCTCTCAAACCTCCAAGACGTGGGCCAGAGGCACTGTTTTGACTTTACCACATGCTTCACTTTAGAAAAACAAAACAACCAGCTCCTTGGATGGATCAAGCATCATAGACTCAGACTGCAGGAGGAAACTCCAACAGCTGTTGATGGTCAGGAAGAACCTTCAGAAAAATTGTGAAACGAGCGAAATTGTTTTTCTTGTCCTATCTCCCTTTTCTGTTTCCTTTACCCAACTCACGTTTCCTCCTCTGCCCCTGACTTCCAGCTCTCAGAACTCTCGTCCCTGCACCCCACGCCTTCAGAACCTGCCCTTAGGATCACCCTGCTCTTCCTCCAGCCTGTAGTGGCAGTTTGTATACTAGTCCCTCTCATTTGCATTTTAATCCTGACCTCTGACTGTGGAGCGAAAGCAGTTGTTCGAGGTTTGCACGCATCCTGGCCCAGGAAGGGAGGGTGGGAAGGGGACAGGATGCTACAACTGTACCCATCACACCTGCGTGTCATGAGAGCCAGCATCTTTAGGACACTGGATTCCACTCTCCAGCACAACCGTCGTGCTCCCCAACAGAAGCATCATCAACGCATGACCAGCCATTAGGGGCCTCTAGAGAAGGCCTCCTGGGTGAAAGAGATACCAGCACATTTACATCGATATGACATTTACATCACTGTCTGCATGCACAGCGCTTCCCTTTGCCATCGCCCCTTCTTTGAAGTGGAAGAGCAGACAGAGAGGAAGAGCCAGGGAAGGAAAAGGCCGTCTGGAGTCAGTGCTCCGTCTGCCAATGGCCTTTGAGATTTGGCTCCTACTGCGTTCCCTTGGCCACACAAATGTTTACTGACACCCACTTTTATGTCGGGTGCTGCACCGAGAACCTTACATATATTACCTCATTATAATCCTCTTAACAACACAATTATGGTAGGTATTGTGAGCATATTTACACACTTGGGAACTGAGGCTCAGACATCATCCGTAACTTCTCAAGGTCACAAAGCAAGTGCCTACATAAGCTCTTGGAGGGTGTACAGTCAGTGAGCAGACACTTAGAAGTCCTGAGACATGTGGATGCTCCCTGTCTAATTCCATCCTCACCCCCTGCATATGAGATGGGCAAGGCAGGCACTGCTGTTGTCCCCATTTCACAGATCTGGAAACTGAGGCCCGACCAGGTTAAGTTACTTACTTAGGGCAGTTCTGCTAATTGGTGGCAGAGCTAGGGCTAGAACCCATCTCTTCTCAGGCCAGTACATACACTTTCTACCGCTTAACAGTTGGAGGTAGTGGCTTTAGCAAGAAATAAAGAAACAGCAACATCTTAACGTTTAGAAAAAGAAAGGTTGAGAATCTCATGCAGTCTCTTGGTTTAAAAGTCTGAGCTCCACTTTAGCTACCTTGTTTTTGCAGTTGTGCTCTGGGACCTGCATGACTTTAATTGGATTATCTAGTTAACCTTGACACAGCCCAGAGATATCTGTCTAACGTTGACTCTGGGAAGAACAGACAAACATGTGTAATGCTGCCATATTGAATTAGCAACACAGAAGAACAAGAATAATTAATGCTAAGTGTAAAGGTGAGACCTGCCTTGGCCTAACCGAGGCACCCAGTTGACTTCCTCACCCCATCTACCACAGGTTGGGCCTCTCAAGCCAACGGATCAGGGGACGGGAAGTTAGGAGGACTGGTGTTTTAACATGCTGGCCACACACTATCTAGCTATCTGATGTTGAACAAGAAAATGCATTCTCGGTGCCCTGACTGCCTCATCTCCGAAATGGGAGCCATCTCGTGTCTTCTTTGTCAAGATCAACTGAGATGAGGGTAGAAGGGCTGGAAGGACTAGAAAGCTCTCCACCAATGAAACCCTCAAGACAGATAGTAATGATCCCACTGCCAGGCTAATCTGAGCATTAGTCACAGTCAGACTTTGGACCTACAGCTGCTCATTGCCAGGTCAACGCTGTCTCAGGGCTGCAGGTGTATTTGTTGGTCAGGCTGATTTTGATCAGTTTGTTGGGTCGTGCAGCTGACCCTTCTTAGGTCAACGAGGCTTCATTTCCTAAAGTACTTGTGCCTTATTTTCTCTCCCTAGATGGGTGTTAGAATTCACTGCAATAGACCAGAATTTTTTTTTTTAATGATAATTCTAGACATGGCATATTACAATTCTCTGGTTTTTTGTAAAAAGATATTTTATCTAAGTTTTCTGGATCATCAGAAAAGACTCAGAAATGTATTTCTTATTCCAACTGCTCCTTCTACAAAGTCCCTGCTCCTGTCTTTCTTGGTGGTCCTCCTGAGACCACAGGGGCTTCCTGCACAATGCATGGTATACGGAACACACCACATGAATGTGGCCCTGGCTGACTGTGTCTCGGGTGGACCCAGAAGTGTTTACTGAGCTCTGTTTTGGACCTTGTGGAGGAGGTGCACATTCCTTGTTCTCGAGGAGTACGCAGTCTGTTTGGGGAGCCAACAAGTTGAAACATGCCCATGAACCAGAGAAATAAACACAGGCAATGAGCACAATAGGTGGTTAAGATAAGAAACAAGCCGATGTCAGCAAACAAGGTCAGGGCAGGCTACCCAGTGAGGCAGGAGTCCAGCTGATCCTAGAAGGACAAGTGGCAATACCTTACAGTGTTTGAGGGGTGCAGAAAGCACATTT